AGGCTGTGTGCCACACTGGGATTAGAGTTTAATCCTAGTAGTTTCGGACTGGAACTAACAATAGCCAGCGTATGCAAAGTCATTAAAAATAGCCACTATTTTGCTGCAACACGAAAAGTTCCAGCATAATATACTGGAGATTGGTGCACCTGTGTATAAACTTCCAAGCATATTATGCTGGAACTCCAGTATATTATATTTGAAGTTCACATGTAAAAAATTTGAACTCCAGTATATTATGCTAGAATATTTCCTGATTTTAAACAGTGTTTTCGTTAAAATTTATTTTTACATAAAAAGTTGCTAAAATTCAATTACTTTTAAAACTATGGTCTGTTTTTTAGTTACCATTTATAAATCTGGCTATTTTTAAATTTCAACTTGCTTTTGCTGAGCAAGAGAAAAGAAGGATTGATAAGGACAATCATGTTAGCTGACAACCCTTAATTTGTATAAATAGTTGCATATATCACTCCTTTTTGTATTGCTTTCTTGCCAAATCTCCCAACCTCCCCCCACCCACCCAACCCACCCACCCACACACCAAAAAAATAAAAATAAAGACTTGGTGAGTCTTTGTTATAATATCTCTCTCCTTTTTTTTTTTTTATACCATGCATTTTTTTTATCACTTTATTTTCGTCTTGCATGAAACATTATTGAGACATTCAGAGCCTTTTTCATGACATCCTATTACAAATGGTTTGATGGAAAGGTGTGGTGCATGGGGTTAGTACGATCCTTTAAAAAAAAAAAAATTCATTACATAAGAGGTCGTGGAAAAGGAAGGGGAAACGAGACAATGACAATACTAGCAAAGCCAGAATTTTTATTAAACGTGTTCAAAAATTTAATACATATGTATGAAAACTAATATCAATCTGCATATACATAATATAGTTTTATGTTCAATTGATCATTCTTCGGAAACAGCCTCTTTGCCCTCTAGGGTAGGGGTAAGGTCTGCGTACATATTACCCTCCCAGACCTCACTTGTGGAATCTCACTGGATTGTTGTTGTTGTTGCTATTGTTCTTCGCCATCTTCATCTCTACCACTGAATAATGAGAATTTAACTCATAGGAATATTGTGTGAGATTCTCATCGATACCACAAGATTTTAAATTTTGGTGGTGTAAGATATTGTCTAGACATATTCTTTACTCGAACTATCACCTATATTGTGTGTGCGATTCTTACTGATACTACTTGACTTTAAGTTTTAATGGTGTAAGATATTGTCTTGGCATATTCTTAATTATATGTTTTTTTCTCAGTAAGCTAGAAGGTTAGAAGAAGAAATTAAGAATGTGGAAATTGAAGATTGCACAAGGGCAAGATGGGCCATATTTGTACAGCACAAACAACTACGTTGGACGTCAAATATGGGCTTTTGACCCAAATGCTGGAAGCCCAGAAGAACGGGCCGAGATCGAAGAGGCCCGTCAACATTTTTGGAACAATCGCTATAAAATCAAGCCTAGTGGTGATCTTCTTTGGCGAATGCAGGTAAACAAAAATTTAGGGAAGATAACACCTGTATAGCCGCCCTCAAAATGTATATATATATTTTGAAGATTGCACAAGGGAAAAATGTATATATATATATATATATATATATATATATATATATGTTATACACAACAATTATACAAATTTTATATACTTTTTTGGCTATAGAATGCAAATGGTTTCTGGCGCAGACTAAAAGTGATAATAGCCCACCGTACCAAATGTTTATATAAATTCTTATAGAAAAGTACCAAAAAGATACTATTTACCAACAACTAGCCAATTAGTCATACTACCAAATATAGCCTAATATATTATCAATAATATACAATATTAAAAAACATAGACAAAAAGCGTTTTTTCAATGGATATTATTGTGATTCGTTGAATATATATATATATATATATATATGAGGCAAGATACAAAAATTGAGGAAGTGTGAAGGTGATTTAGACTAGTTTGGAGTCAAAATTCATTACCGATGATATACAATATTAAAATATTTAGGCAAAAAATATTTTCTTTAAATGGGTGTAGGCATATAAATTTTATTAAAATTAAATCCATGAAATAATTTGGACAATATTTTAAATTCAAGATATATTGAACCAAATAAACATATGGGCTAATATAATTGAATTAATTGTATAAGTCCAATATAAATAGATTAAATAAATAAGTCTTAATACATTGGGCTAGCCCATTTAATTAGGCTAAAGTGATGAGCCCACTTCATTAAGCCCAAATTGTCATCCTCCTGGAGGCCCAGTTTGGTGCCACGTGTCAAATGACGTGGCACGCCAAGTCAAGCGGAAGAGCCAATAGGATCATGCCACGTGTCAAAATGACAAGGCATGCCAAGTCACACCAAAAGGCCAATGAAATCGCACCACGTGTGCAAGTGACATGTTCTGGCCAATCAAATGTGGCCATGTCACACTTCAGTATGAATGGTCGGAAAGAGTTTGTTCTTATCATAACTCCTCCCTTACACAACTATAAATAGGGGTCTTCATAACCCAGAAAAGGGACCAGAAGTTATAACAAGAAGCAAGAGAGAGCTCGTGGATCAAACGCTGCAGATTTCTCTAACAGCTATAAGCATTCAAGTGTTCTAAGGATTAAAAGATCAAGACAAAGATTCAAGAACAAGCTGCAAGCCCTTGGATTAAAAAATACGTCAAGATCAAGATCAGGCCTCAAGCCCTTGGATTAAAATAAAATAAAATTCAAGATCAAGCTCGAAGGCTCTTTTATTTACTGTTGAAAAGTAGAATCAGAGGATTCATAGAGATTGTAACACTCAAATATTCGAAATCAAATACTACGATTGTTGCAATATTTTTCGGTCTTGATTTTATTTTCTTGACGCAATTTATTGTCTACAAATTCTGGCACGCCCAGTGAGACAATCTCTACCTCTCATCTGGACTTTTCAATCACCAAAGTTCAAGAACATCGAAATGGCTTCAAAGAAAATCAACTCCAGTTCAACTTCCACCAAGGCTGCTAATTCCAGGTTCTATGCTGATGTGGAAAACATACTCGAAGTTATATTTGGAAGCTTTGGACCAATTACGAGGAGCAAAGCGAGCTCGTTAGGACAACAAGCACCCCAAGTGCCATCCGCATCTACCCCTGTTTTCGGATATTCATCCTCAAAGGGAGCAAGATCTTCCACAAACGCACCCGAAGGAGGAAGCGATGTTGCTGAAAAGATCAAGAAAACTCTTGCTCTGCTTGACCTCTCCAGATCCAAAAACTCTGCTGTGAAGGAAGATGATTATGCTTCAAGTGATGGATCCTCCCCACTTACACCACATAGAATGAGCCAATCAAGGATCAATCTGTGTGACAATCCATGCTACTCTCCATCGTCCACAACAATCATGCAAGCGATGGTGACAAACACTTCATCTGTGGAGGAGCAGTTGGAAAACTTGACGGAAGCAATCGTTGGCTTGACCAAGTGCATGCAAAATTAAGAGGCTATAATTGACAAGCTAACAGACAGGGTGAGAATCTTGATGGAAGAAGAATTCACCCATGCACCCAGCAAACTCCCAGAAGTTCAAGAGATTGATCCTCCCTCACGACAAGTTGCATCCACTAAGGAAATTCCAGTCTCTTCAAAAGGGATGTTTCCAATCAATCAACTAAAAGAGTTCATTGAAGGGACTATAAAAAACAAATATGAAGTCGCTTCCAAGTCCTCCTTTACCTAAGCAAAGCCATACACTTCAAGGATCGATATGTTGAAGATGCTTGTTGGCTATCAATCTCCAAAATTTCAACAGTTTGATGGCAAAGGAAATCTAACATATGGCGCACTTCGTTGAGACATGCAATAATGCTGGGACTTATGGAGATTACCTCGTCAAGCAGTTTGTCCGCTCATTAAAAGGAAATGCTTTTGATTGGTACACAGACCTCGAGGCTGGATCTGTTGATAACTGGGATCAACTAGAGCAAGAATTCCTCAATCGTTTTTATAGCACGAGACGTACTGTCAGTATGATAGAACTTACAAATACTCGTCAGCGAAAGGGTGAACCAGTTATCTACTTTATCAATCGTTGGAGGAATGCAAGCCTCAACTGCAAAGATAGGCTTAGTGAAGCTTCGGGCATAGAGATGTGCATCCAAGGCATGCATTGGGGACTACGCTACATCTTGCAAGGTATCAAGCCTGGCACATTTGAAGAACTTGTGACTCGTGCCCATGACATGAAGTTGAGCACGACCTCTGCTGGAAATGAAAGGTTGCCTATCTATGATCCTCGAAAAGGGAACGACAAGCAAGAAGTCAGGAAATGGAGCAAGTTTTTACCCAAATCTGAAAACAAAGAAGCTATGAATGTCAACACATCACATGTGAAGTTCACAACGAAGGTGAGCAAGAAGCAAAGTATGAAATCTACTTCTTTTCAAGATAAGCCAAGTGGAAAGTTGACTTTAAAAGAAATGCAAGAGAAAGAGTACCCATTTCTGGATTCTGATGTGCCAGCTATTTTTGAAGAACTCCTCGAGTTAAATCTCTTGAGCTTCCGGAGATGAAGCGACCAAATGAACATGGGAAAACAAATGACCCAATTTACTGCAAATACCATCGACTTGTGAGCCACCCTCTAGAGAAGTGCTTTGTCTTCAAGGACAAAGTCATGGACTTGGCTCGCGAAAAGAAGATAGTGCTTGAAGATGAGAAAGCAAGCGCAAAAAAATCTCTATCACCTTTTGCTCATTTAGTCCGGATGAATTATGTGGTTTTAAAGAAAGTAAAGATGAAGAATTATCGGAGAACCACAAAGTTGAGTCAACCACCCTGATGATGATGAAGGTTGGACATTGGTGACTCGTCGTAGGCACCACAGAAGGATCCCACGAAAAGAATCAGTAGAACAACCAACAAGGAAAATGATGGTAAAAAGACCAAGGAGATGGAATCCAGTTAAGCACTTAAAGAGAGCAAAAGTGGAGGAGCACCACTTTCAAAATCCACAAAATCCAGTGACCTTGGAGGAGTTTTTAGCAAGTTGGTTCCGCACGAAGATTTCCCATGAGGGTATCGATGCCTTTTGTTGCCATGCTGACAAAGGGGAAGAAAAGAGTGATGACCTACCGTTGGCACCATCCTCGGAAAAGCACATCGAGTCCACTCCTCAAGAAGTTAATGCTTGTGAGGAAAAAGTCACGTTCACAAATGACGATCTTCTGCTAGGTGACACTCTTCATAAATTGTACCTGATTGGCTATATGCGTGATGAAAGGGTAAATCGAATTTTGGTTGATGGAGGATCCTTAGCGAACATTTTGCCAATTCGCACTGTGAAAGAACTTGGTATTCCCATGAGCGAACTCTCAGAAAGCCGTGTGACGATCCAAGGATTCAACCAAGGAGGGCAAAGAGCCATAGGCGCGATCAGGCTGGAAATCACCATTGAAGATATGCAATCAAGTGCATGGCTACATGTGATCGATGCAAAGACTTCATACAACGTCTTGTTTGGAAGGCCTTGGATACATGAGAATAAAGTAGTTCCATCTACCTAACATCAATGTCTAAAATACTACGAGGGTGAAGTCGAGAAGAAGATAGTTGCTGATGATGAGCCATTCACTGAGGCTGAGTCATACTTCGCCGATGCAAAGTTCTACTTAAAGAATCGCATTGTGAAGGAGCTAAAAGATGATGATGGCATGAAAAGCAAGAATGACGAGCCCACAACTAAAAGAGTAGAGGTGACTACTGGTGAAGCCAAAGCTGTTACTGAGGAGGTATAACCTAACGCGAATAAATCTTATAGAGGGAATATTGCTTCTTATGGCAAGAAAGTAAGTCATGCGCTCCAATATGTCCCTAAAAGGAAGAAATATGAAGGTGAATCATCTAATCTCCAAACTAACATGCTAAAGGAGTTAACTCTTCCGGTAAAACGAATTGAGGCGGTAAAGTTGTCCTCAAAGCCACTTGCAAGGTTTGTGGCCCAAAATCGTGTGCAGAATGTGGCACTCCCTACAAAGCAAACAGATGAAGATTTTGATCCTAACGCTTACAAGCTATTTGCAAAGCTGGATACAATCCTAATGAGCCGTCAAAGTTAGGGAAGCTACCATCAGAAGCTGCAACGAGACAACCACGTGAAGGTTTGGGATACAAGCAACCGTCACCAGTGCGCATCTCCATAAGAAGGGCGAGAAGTAATTATATCACTGTAGAAGATGAATCGGCCGCTTCTAACAAGCCTTCTGTCTTTGATCGACTTGGAAAATCACCCGTGAGGACCTCCGTGTTTGAGAGATTGGGTTCATTAAAGAAGGGGAACAAGTTCCAGAGAAATTTTCAAAGCATAAGAACACCCGCTTCGCGCAAAATCCAGAAGATCTCTAAGGATTTCCAAAGTTTGGTTCCTTCTAGAATGAGGCGACAAACAAAACTCGTGGTTTCATGTAAAGAAGTACTGAAGGTAAATCCATATACCGTGGTCTACACTAAGGA